CAAACCATCCATGCATATAACTTATATTTGGTCATCCAAACTGCATGAAAACTCCCAAGAGTCTCCATTCTTTTCTGAAAGACAAAGCCCTCAATTTGAAGGAAATTATTCTAAAGGAAGTAGTTTTGTTTTTAAAATGTCTTTTCAGAGACACATAGATCAGTGGAACAGAATAGAGGATTAAGAAAGGCTAACCCAAGTTCTTACCTGGAGAATCCCAGGGACGGCAGAACCTGGTGGGCTGCCATCTATGGGTCACACAGAGTCGGACACGACTGAAGCGACTTAGGAACAGCAGCAGCAACCCAAGTTCTGTGGTGCTGGAGAAGACTCTTGAGAGTCCCTTGGACTGCAAGGAGATCCAACCAGTCCATCCTAAAGGAGATCAGTCCTGGGTGTTCATNAAAGAGCTCTGAAAGTTCAACAGTGTAAAAACAAATCAGTTAGGAAAATGTGCAAAAACAAGCAAACAAACAAAAAAAAGACCTTTCAGAGAAGAGATACACATCGCAAATGAAGATGTAAATGGTGTTCAAAATCATAAGTCATTAGAGAAGTGCAAATTAGAACCACTGTGAGATACCACTGCACACCTAATAGAATAACTAAAATAAAAAAATAGTCATAATAGCAAATGCTGATGAGGATTCAAGAGACTGGATCTCTCAGCTATTGCTGGCACGAATGTAAAATGGTAGCACTACTCTAGAAAACAGTTTGACAGTTTCTTATAAAACTAAGCATGTAACTAAGCATGTAAATAGGACTCAGCAATCACAGTCTTGGCCATTTAACCCTAGAGAGATGAAAACACATTCACACAAAAACCTCTATATGAATGTTCATAGCAGCTTCATTTGTAATAGCAAAAACCTATAAACAACTCAAATATCCTTCAGTGGGTGAGTGGTTAAATCAACTGATACATCCATACAGTGGAAAACTTTTCACCAATAAAAAGGAACAATCTACTGATATATACAACAGCTTGGATGGATCTCAAAGACATTGTGCTTTAGTGAAAGATGTCTATCTCCAAAAGTTGCAAACTGTATGATTACATTTACCTAATGTCCTCAAAATGACAAAACTATAGTGATGAAAAAAGATTAATGATTACTAGGGGACAGAAACAGGGTAAAGACTGAGTATATAAAGGAAGCTCATTTGTGATGATGGAACAGTTATAATTTTGATTATGGTGGCAGTTACTGAATCTTTTGTTGTTTGGTTGCTAAGCTATAGATGACAAGCCGTGTTAATGACTATCACATGGTCTCTGATGCATTATGACCCCGAAAGGGGTAAAAATTGTTAAGATTCACTAATATGAAAATATTCTGAACTATGTAGGCAAAAATACATATATATGTTGTATATGGATGTATATATAAAATTGCTATAATATTCAGTCTCTTCAATTCATTTGAAGAGATGCTGTCAGTGATTTGTGATCAAGTATAAGTTTTTTCAACCTTCAAACATTCTATAAACTCATGAAGGGCATAGGTATACTCCCCTCTCTAAACTTTTGGCAGACATAGCCATTTTTCCTTATTAGTTTCCTTTTTACTTCCTGACATTTTGGTCCTTGAACACTAAGAACAGATCCAAAGTTTCTTTATCTTTCTTGGAACTCCACACATTAATCTTTCTGGCTAACCCTTTTGGTTAGCTTTTTTAGCTGGTCAATATACTGATTCTTTATTAGACAGCATACTTGTTCTCTGTTGGAGTTGAAGTTAGAGTGTTTGATTGTATAGTTGTTTTATGGAAGACAGTAATATAATATCATATAGAAAGGAAGTTTGAGTGATATTGCATGCAAGAGGAACTTAGGTCAAAAGTGACACTGAGAGAAAAAAAATGAGGAAAATGGTATGGAGTGAAGAGAGGAGAGGCATTTAGGTGAGGGTTCATTAGAAATGGTGGGATTAAATTGGTTATCTACTGAGATTATAAAGGAAGTCCTTAAAAGAATAAGATATTTAGTACGACTGCCAAGCAGTAAAATCATCAATTTCTCTTTATTCCTTCCATTTATCTTAGTTAGAAAAAATCTCATATATTACTGTTCATTTCACTCCAAGAAGGCAATGGTTTCCCATTTGGCATTGTGTTATCAAGAGTCTTCTATTCTTAGCCCTGGCAGGAACACTTAGGTAATGCAATCTGAGCTCAGTTCTCATGGATTTAGTCCCTAGAAATGACTGCAATCACAAGATTTTATTCAAGCAGGCCTAAAAAGTATTTTTACTCCAGAATAATCCCCAAATTATACTAGTTTCTCTAAAAATCGAAGGGCAAAATTTTCAAAAGATTCATATATTGTTTTAAAGCCTTCCACTAAATAAAAATGACTACTCTTTCATTTCCTTTTGCATTTTATTATCATTCCATGAAGTATAGTGTCTTTATTAGTTCTACTACGGATTCCCTGTGACCGCTGATTAAACATTTGTTGTTTACTTACTAAGTACTGTCTGACTTTTGCCACCACATGGACTGTAGCCTGCCAGGCTCCTCTGTCTGATATTTCCCCGGCGAGTATCCTGGAGTGGATTGCCATTTTCTTCTGGAAAATTTCCCAATTCAGGGATCAAATCCATGTCTCCTGCACTGGCAGGCAGATTCTTTACCGCTGAGCCACCAGGGAAGCCCAGTTAAACACTTACATTAATATATTTTTCAGTTCAGTTCAGTTCAGTTGTGTCCGAATCTTTGCGACCAAATGAACCACAGCATGCCAGGCCTCCCTGTCCATTGCCGACTCCGGGAGTTCACCCAAACTCATGTCCATTGAGTCGCTGATGCCATCCAACCATCTCAGCCTCTATCATCTCCTTCTCCTCCTGTCCCCAATCCCTCCCAGCATCAGGGCCTTTTCCAGTAAGTCAACTCTTCTCATGAGGTGGCCAAAATATTGGAGTTTCAGCTTCAACATGACCTTCCAATGAACACCCAGGACTGATCTCCTCTAGGATGGACTGGTTGGATCTCCTTGCAGTCCAAGGGACTCTCAAGAGTCTTCTCCAACACTACAGTTCAAAAGCATCAATTATTTGGCGCTAGGCATTCTTTATAGTCCAGCTCTCACATCCATACATGACTACTGGAAAAACCGTAGCCTTGACTAGATGGACCTTTGTTGGCAAAGTAACGTCTCTGCTTTTTAATATAGTGTCTAGGTTGGTCATAACTTTCCTTCCAAGGAATAAGTGTCTTTTAATTTCATGGCTGCAATCACCATCTGCAGTGATTTTGGAGCCCCCCAAAATAAAGTCTCTCACTGTTTCCACTGTTTCTCATCTATTTGCCATGATCTTAGTTTTGTGAATGTTGAGCTTTAAGCCAACATTTCCACTCTCCTCTTTCACTTTCATCAACAGGCTCTTTAGTTCTCCTTCACTTTCTGGCCTAAGAGTGGTGTCATCTGCATATCTGAGGTTATTGATATTTCTCCTGGCAATCTTGATTCCAGCTTGTGTTTCATCTAGCCCAGCGTTTCTCATGATGTACTCTGCATATAAGTTAAATA